GAGCCGCTGCCGCCAGGGTCCCCGCCGGGACGTGGGGGGCGCAGGGAGAGCCCTGCTGGGGCGGGGCAAGCAGGGAGAGGGGAGAACACAGAGCAGAGCCCCGGCGCAGCTTGTGCCTTGGGTGGGCACTCGGGGTGCCCTGCGCCTGTCTTCTCCCGGCGCCACAAGCCCGAGGAGGCCATGGGTGCTTGTTTCACTGGTGTTGCAGCCCCATCTCGCTGTGAGATCAGCCGTAAGTCCCGACTGGCACTGAAGGGCTCTGTGCCCTCCCCAGAGGGCTTCCCGAGGGCAAGTGGTCCCACTGCTTGGCAAGTGGGCAAGGGTTGGGAATTGCCCAAGCAATCCAGGCAGCCTCAACACAAATAGGGAGCCCATCAACCTTGGCAAGTGGACCCCAGGCTGCTCGGTCACCACGGGGAGCGCTTGACCGTTCACATAACGTTGCCTGCGTGAGTGTGTGCCTGCGTGAGCGGGTGATGCACAAGAGGCAGCTGTGGCTCAGCCCCAAGGTTTCACCTTGTCTCTCCTGCTGAGGGCATCAGGCTGCGCTGAAGGTCTTTCAAGCCCCGTGGAGTCCCTGGTGAAAGACTGGGGGCTCAGAAATAATGAAGAGCTTCCTGGACACATCCAGGCCATGAGAGACAGCGGAGGAAGGTGCGTTTCAAGCCGTCTGCCTCAGCCAGGCAGGTCTGCAGGGCTAGAGATGGCAGGTGTGGAGCAGGCTGTGGAGGAAGACCTGCCACCAGCCCAACGCCTTTGACAATGGCACCACTGCTCAAGCTGTCTGCAGAAACCCATTATAACTGGTCAGGCTCCATTCCTCTCATCCCTTTGAGGCTCCAGACATCTTTGCTACTTCAGGCCACACGAGAGCGAAATTCTTATGGCTGCTTGTTCCCTTGTGGGGACTGTAGACTCCAAAGCCCTGTGGCCCTCTCTTTCAAAGCCACTTGTGGCACGTTATCTTTTAACACTGCGTTTGCTTGAGCCTTCTCTTTTCGCTGACCTCCAGGTAGGTCTAAGAGCAGATCAGAGAGTAAAAGCACCTCTTCAGTCAAGCATCTAATAAATAACCTGTGCAAGAGAACAAAGATACAGCACAGTTCTTCAAATTAAATGCAGTTTAAGAAAGGATTTGTCATATGTAGTAGAGGCTATTTCTGAGCATATGTAGGATCTAGTTCAGGTTTCAATTCATAGCTTTAAAGCTAACATTGAATAGGTAGAAAAAAAAAAGAATGTGATAGAAAATTATTTCTGCAGCCCCAGATAATTGTGCTGTTGCTTGATTGTTCTTACCACTGAAGTGTTGCTAACTGGGAAATGAGAAAGACCTTTAGTCATAGTCTGCATTATAAGTAGCAAAATTTTGAACTTTGCTTTAAGGTCTTCAGTTGTTGCTATGGGAATTGCTATTACCTTATCTGAGTTGGGCTCCAGTCAAAAATTTTCCTTCCACACCTTTTAGATAACACCAATACCCAGTTTGGCTTATGGAGATAGAAATATGAAGATACGTTACCTTTTTTTTTTTTTTTTGCCCCCCAGGTGCTGTACCTCAGTGTTGTGTTTGTGGAGGAGCACACATAGCATATGTGCTATGAAAGCAAGATAGATGAACCATCTCTTTTCTGCTAAATACGGTGTAATTCTACCCTTTTCTGCCCTTAAAAAACAAAGATTGTGTCAATCACTACATCATTTAGAGCAGTAATAGTAAGGGCAGAGGACAGTGTAATAGAAGTCATACTGAACACCTCATCTCCAATCTTGGCTTTCTTCGTGGCTTTGGCATCAGCTGGAAAGTAATTTCTGCCACTGAAACCAGAGGGAGATTTCAGCGTTGCCATTCTGCATGGTCGCTCGCAGCTTATCTGAACAGGCCCTTGCTCTCTGACTTCCTTCCTTCTACCAACTTTTGTTTGCAGTAGTGGGACCTTCTAATTGCTTCCCTGTTGGTAAATGCTTTTGCCTATAAAATGGATTTCCATTACCTATCTCACTACTCTTCCCTCTCTGAGTCACCTTCTCTCTTCCAGTCACCTTTTTCTGTGTGCAGTCATATGCAACGCAATTACTTGTTGGTTAACATACACACAAAGGATAGCTAGGATTAGTGATCTTCTAAATTAAGTACCTTAGTAACATTAGTATGTTAACTGTCCCTAATAAGTCATTTGCTAGAGTCTTTGGTAACGAGATGGAAACAAGTCAGCTTTCATTGCTCTTTGTGGCAGATCCTTGATATTGCAGTTTTTTGCCCTTGCTTTTCCCTTGAGATTTTGTCTTCCCATTTTGCTGTTTTCCCTGTTGAATCCTTGAGCTGCTATCTGCCCTGTCTCAATAGTCTTACTTTTGTCTACAATTTTACCTTTCTTACGTTGCATGGTTGTATCTTAGGGGCCTCCTCACAGTTCTTTCTTTCAATTTAACAATTTCCTCCAGAATCAGAGCAAAGTTTATGCAGCTCTGCCATGTGGGCAGAGCCTTGGATTGTGGAGGGCTGAAATCCTCGTGATAGAGGGCAGGTCGACTTTCTTTGCCTTTGCCCTTTCAGCATCCTGGAAGGAAGGTCCAGGTAGCAATACTGCATGCTGTTTGACTTTAGTATTTATTGCAGTATTTTTTCATTAGTTATACTGTGAACACATCAGTTGCAAGCCTTTCACAACTAAGTTTCTCAACATAAATTTCCTACATTTTTCGAGTCTCAGTTAAGTGACGGGTATATAGTTTCTTGGAGAATAGAATTTCAGTTGGTAGGAAGGTTCTTTTTTTGTCATCAACTTTTAGGTATTAGCAGCCTTTATGCGGAACATAATCCTTTAAAAATATAACTCTGAATGATACTTTTCTGGAAAAAGAGTATGATTGAGAGAGCGAAAAGTCGAGCATATTGCAACTTTTTTTTTTGCCATTAATTCAGAGCCATTATGTGTAATGATGAAGCATTACCCTCATTATCTTTTAAGAAGTGAACACCAGTAGTTTCCTGAGCTCAGGAGCTAGTGAGACATATTTTCCCACAGTTTTGTTCTGTGTTTTATTCATTTTGTTATTTCCTAAATGCAAGATCATACCACTGCTTTTGCCTAAAAAGGAGAACTTATAGATATATGAGCCCGTAGTCCTAAAAACCCTGCTAGGGACATTACACTGTGTGTTCACTTTCTTATTCGTGTGCTTTCTCCCTAACTGAGTGCCTCTTTTTGTGAGACCATTATTTTCTAAAAAAATACGAGCAAATACTCTGGAAAAGATGAGTATTTTGCTTTACTTAAAAATGATGTGAATGGTGGAGGTGAACAAGCATGTGTCTGATCTCGAATGTGTCACCATAGTGTTGTGATAACACCTGCAGCAATAGGAAACCGCAGCTTGTTCACAGCGCTTAGGACATGCTGGGAGCTCTAAGTGGCTAAAAGTGCCGGTGTATTCAGAAGAGCAGGTCAGTAGAGAAGCACATTGCCTAACTGACCTGCAGCCTGGCTGCTGGCTTACTGCACATCTGCAGATCACAAGTTGTCCATGCCCTGACTTGCTGAGGTTCCCATGTTCCCAGCCAGGTGTCTTTATCAGATGCCTGTATGTCTAAAATCCTGCTGCTTCGACAGAAGACTCCCTGCCTCCCTCCCTCCCAATCCACTCCTGTGTTTATTGGGGGGCTGGAGAGTGGAGGACTATCCTGTGCCTAACTGCAGTGAGAGGTCTGCTTGGGGTTACTGGCTTTCTGGCTTGCAGAACAGGTAGGCAACCAGTTTAACCCAGGGGTGCATGAATGAGATGTCTGGTATTGTAAGATTTACAAGTGCCTCAACATCCGAGAATCCTCTTTGCTCCTGGACTGCCCAGCTGGAAAGTTGCATGTTCCTGAAATTGTGCTATAACAAATATTTCATTTGTGAAATACCTAAACAGTCCTGTGGTGGGAACATTCAGTTTTTCTTTACCTTAGGCTTTATGTTGTCCAAAGGTTGGAGCTATTGCGGCTATTTCTAGATTTGCCCTAATGGCCAATGCAAAAGCGGCTTTTTTATAGTTTGTGTTTTCTATTGTACTTCTCAGGATTTGTCTTCCTACCACAAGGTAATACCGTAACAACGAATAAGACAAATGTAAAATCTCATCATGACCTGAAAATATGTGCCTCAAAAGTGTGAATAAGAAACACTCTGGAATTTCTTTGATGTACTGCGAGGCCACATTTTGGAGTATTGAGTCTGTTTAGGACTCCCTAGTACAAGGTAGGTACTGGCATATTGGAATGAGTCTGGTAGAGGTGCCCATGATTTGTGTGATGTACAAGGAGAGGCTGAGGGAGATGTTTGTCTAAAGATAAGTTAAGATGATCTCTTCAGCTTTTTTTTTTTTTTTTAAAGA